CCCAGAGAGACAGGAACTCAGGATTTCTCTTTGGTAGGCTCTTTTCACTGGAATACACTTCTGTCCTCTCCTGCCTGTACTACTTGGTCTCCCTTTATTCCTTGCTTGGTGGCCCAAGCCTTCTATGGGAGGAGTGGGGAATGGCAGAAGACAGTCTAAAGTAGTTTTCCCACTTCCTGGCAGTGTGTCTAACCTTTACATGTAAAGTGTGAAGAACTAGATCACCTCCTTTGCTGACAGTCCAGTTTCATTCAGAAGTAATCTGAATGCTGTGCATTGTGTTGACCTTGAGGTAAAGGTGCTTACTGGATCAAGGCCCTCAAGGATTTAGATGCAAGCATGCCTAACTAACAAATCCGAAATGCATGGAAGAAATAAAAATGTACTATGAGTTTCAGCACAGTTCAGACAGTGGTGCTCACTGCCTTGCACAGGAGCAGAACTTAGGAAGCTGAGGAGTAAGTACCTAACATGTGTCTTGTGAACTTGTAAATGTTAGATGTCTAAATTCTACACAAGTAAAATTTAATTGTATAAAACCTTTTGAGTATGGGTGTCACTATCTCCTCTCTTTGTACACAGTGAAATAATGTAGTAAGATTCTAGTCTTACGAAATGTGAGCCAACTGCTTCAGAGAGGTAAAACTTTACTTAGTTGGACTACTTACAGAGTAAGGTACAGCACTCCACAGGTAAGATGATGAAATTTTGTTTTAATGTGGTTAAACATTTGCCTTGGTTCTGCTTTGGAAATTCCTCACGCAGCATGTGGCTAAGCTATGGAACTCCCCGCCTCAGGACACTGCACGCAAAAAGTTTACACAGGTTTAAAAGGCAAGTGGATAAACTAATTGAGGAAAAATACATGAAAAGCTATTAAATACAAAAGGCAGCACTTCTGGTGCAGCAAAATTGCAGTCATCGTGTCTGCCTCCTCTCTTACCCCCAGTCACTACATTCTTGCCCTGTTTTATTACTTTTTCTGAGTCACCTGCTGCTGGCTGTATCACATCCATGTAGATTGATCCTTACATCATCCTCTGCAACAGTTCGTACATTCCTGTGCAAGGGCAATTTCAAACTGAAAGTCATTTATAACAGCAGCAGCAGCACAAACATAGGAAGTACACTTACAGCCATTTCTCTTTGGCTTCACTTTACTGATTTCAAGAAAGTTATTCTTGATAAGCCCTAGTGTGAGATCACGCTAAGGCATGCTTACCTCCTTCAGGAATAACACAGAATACCAGAAAAGTCTAAGGAGATAGAGAAAATGACTAATTCAACAGGAAAAATAAAATGTTTGGAAAGATTTAATTAGGACTGTGGCAACCACTGGTTGGTTTGGGGTTTTTTTAGTGCAAATTCAAGGAACCTAACTTCTGTAAGCACTCTAGTAGTTCAGGGAGAATTCATTCTGCATTACTCTTTCTCGGGCTGGTTGGTTCCGAGACTGTAAAATAAGCAATTTTTTTACTGAGTAATTTGAAAATAAATCAATACAATATATGCTTATGTCAGTGCTTACAAAATCTCACTCAGCTACAGTTTACTGAATCTGCTGAGTACAAATGGCTGCAAATAAAACTTCCAAGATGCACGGACATGGTAAGTCTGTCAGTATTTCCATGATGGCTATGACATAATTTTTGAAGATCTGCTGATCCTTAAGCATTTGATATGGCTTTAAACTTCGTGAATTTCATTTAATATATTTTTGTAATCCTATTGCAGGGACACTGCATCTTAAAAACCTTTTTTGAACACTGTTTGCTCAACTGTTTTTCCCCTATGAATAAACTTTTCCTCCTTTTATTTCTGAACAAAAGTTTAACAGTTGAATGTACTTTTCTCTGCTTATATTGTATATTGATTATTCTTTGCCCTCAACCTGTTCTAAACAATAATAAATAATTTTTCTTTTTAATGACACTATCAATCTTTAATCCTTAGACACATATTTGTAGTCACTTATAAAAGAGTTTTAACATAGCTGTCTTGCACAAATCTGCCTATTGGTTAAGTTCTACTTGAAGTAGTTTTAGAGAAGCCATAATTTAAAATCCCTTTAAAAATTCACCAGATAAGTGGACTGTAGGTCATACTGCACTAGTACAGGCCCACAGTCTGTGTCCTATTGTGCTAAATGCTTTGAAAACACATAGAAATTAAAGTTTTCTGAGCCAAACAATTTATGTTTGAAAAGGATGGTGCCCACCAGTAAGTGTTCCAAGAACAGATTGCTGGGTGTCTAAAAACTGTTGCCAACCGATACATTAACTGACTTGGTGCTGCGCCTGAAGACTGGAAACACTGTGTTCAGTGCTACGCGGGTTCCTGCAGTTGGCCATTATGTTCAGAAAAGATAACATTTCTTGCCTTGGATCAGGCTTTTCTGTCCCTTATGCAGGGAACATCTAAATGCTGGGGGATGTTCTGATATCGCTAAGAGGCATGATAATTAGAGGAAACAGTCACCTTGTTTTCACTATGTCATTGCACAACTTCCCATGGACTGGAGTGGAATCTAAAGCTGTGTTTCTGCATCCGTCTTTCTGAAAAGGGAAAGAATGTTTAATATTTGCTTATATCTTGAAAGTAACTGAAAAGTTTGATGTTCAGGAACGGGTGTCCAAAAAAAATCAAAACGTTGAATAATTTAGGCTGCAAGGGAATTCTGGAAGTCATGTAGCCCAACACCTGCTAAAAGCAGATACAACTAGATCAAATGGCATTGGGTCTCGTCCAGTCCAGTTTTAAATACCTCCAAGGATGGAGATTCCACATCCTGTCTAGGCAACTTGTTCCAATGTTTGGCCAAGCTCATGGTGAAAAAATTTCCTTGTATCTGCTTGGATTTTCCCAGATTGCAACTGGTGTCCATTGCCTCTCATCATTATCACAAGAGTCTGGATCCATCATCTTTATAGGCTCCCTTTAGGTGTTTGAAGAAATAGGCCAGTACAGGCAGGAATGTCAATTTGGCACTTCAAAAGAGTCATGCTGGAATAGAACCAAATAACAGTATAGAAGATCTGTTTGTTTGATGATTTGTTTGTTTGTTTGTTTTCCACATTGATTCCAAAGGTTCACAGAAGTACCTAAATTTCTGTACAGCCACTCCCATGAAAACCACAGAGCAAAAGAAAATGCTCTATAATTTTCAGTCTGGCCTTGTGCATAATGAGAATAACCCAATCAAAAGAGCGTAGGTGGCAGAAAGATCTCCAAACCACTCTGTAATTGGTCTGTAGAAGATTTCTCTAATACAGCCCCCGAAGGCCATAGACTAAAACTGCCCCTGGGGGATTCTGATCCAAAATGTATATGCTGGGGGTGGGTATGGAATGGGAGGGAGACTGCTAAAACTGTGGGCACTGCTGCAGTCTGTAGGGCAGCCCAAGGGTATTCATTGACACATGGGCTTTGAGACACACCGAAGGTTTCAATAATCCTTGTAGCAACTCGGTATCAGAAGGGACAAAAAATGGTTTACATCCCCCCAGTGCTTGTTCTGTGGCCTGCAAGAGTCAGAATGCTGTATTTCAAGAATAGCCATCTGGGAAGGGAATCCACTTCATTTGCTTTCCCATGGAGGTGTCCCACAGACAGAAACATTAAAACTTGAAATTTGTGTTATTTCAAATATAAAAAATTAAGAGAAAATGTATAATATCCCAATAATTTGTCACATATTCGTTACGTATCACAAAGGAGGAGAAGTGCTTACCTCCCTTGATGTCCACTTAGAGCTTACAATGCACAGGTAGAAAATATCACTGCATTAGTATCCCTTGTGGAGATCAGTTTTGATACTTCTGGCTGGAGCTGAAGTGCTCCATTGCTTCACCAATAGAGAAAGAACAATCTGGGACAAGTAAAACAAGGAAATAAGATACTCTAAGCAAGTGATCTCTTCAAAGCAACCCCATTAGAAAGATACTGGACTGGGACTCCTATTTTTAGTAAGGAATCATATTTAAAATCTAATATTAATCTATCCTTTCGGCCAGTTAATACCAGACATAATTAATGCTAGATGTTTGTTTAAAAAAAAACCCCAACAAACTCTTTTGGTACTAAGTAATGATAGTCCCAGTCATTTAGGTAAGCTTTGGATTTTTACTCTTAGCTATACCACAAAGTTCCATTACAGTGTTTGATGATAACTAATGAAATTAAAACACCATCACTGTAATTTAGGTTTTGCTAGCCTGCTGCAACTGGGCTTTGAAACATCTGGGTGCTTTTCTGCTTGGCTGTTGACTAAAATCATAACCTTTTACCAAAGTGCCATTTGAACATGAAAATAAACTGCTCTTTCTTTTTCAGAGCTGTAGTTAGATCACTGCTTGGAATATAAAATGCTAATATGTAGTTACTAGTACAGGTGATCTGAGAGGCAAGAGTAACACTGAATATTCCTATAACAACCTCTTAAGTATTTGTGAAGTCCAGATCTTTAGCTGCATTTGTTCATTATGACAACTGATATTTTCCACTTTCTTTACAATTAAAATATTCTGGGAACAATGCACACTAATCTTCAGGCTGTATGTACTCAGAATATTTGCCTGCATATATATGCACATTTATTTTTTTTTCAAGCTGTCCTTCTAGTTTTATAAATCATAAAAATTCTTTTCCTTAGTGATACCTGTGAAACTTCTCTATCCCTTATTTATTCCTCTTGCTCTAGCATAAGAAAATATCCCAGATCAATGCATTTTGATCAATAAGTTAGATGCTTCTGGTTCTGAATATATCCACGAGGATAATTTATTTGGCAAGAGTATTATTTTCTTGCAAGTTGAGTGCTTTGAGAATGTGACTATGATTAAAGCTGTCTGTTGAGCACATCAGAATTGTTTTTAAAACAGTCCACGGGTCAGAGAAAAGTGGTCTCTCACTCTGAACAATGATTGTGTATTTGGGAATCAACTAAGAGTTTTGAGATTATTTAGCCAATAATTAGTAATTATAATTTTGTGTCCTATCAGGTGGAAATCCTTGATTGGAAGACAAAGAAACAGCTATGCTTCCTAGATAAGGTAAAAAAAAAAAAAAAAATCTGTTTAAAATGCTAGGCCACTATTTAAAAATTACTAACTTTTCTTAAGTACACTTAGTGTTTATGCAGGGTATTTCATCTCCTGATAGCCTTTCTTTGGCCACCGAAGAGGCAACGATTATGCACACTTCATACTATCACAGAATCACAGAATCATTAATGTTGGAACAGACCTTTAAGATCATCAAGTCCAACCATCAACCCAACACCACCATGCCCACTAAACCATGTCCCAAAGTGCCATGTCCACACATTTTTTGAACGCTTCCAGTGATGGTGATTCCACCACCTCCCTGGGCAGCCCGTTCCAATGTCTGACAATACTAACTACAGAGTACTTCAGCCCTTTTCCAGAAGGAGCTTTTGGGCAAAGAGCACAGCTTCAGCCACTTCACTAAGATGGTGCCAGTTGTTCTTACTCACTCATAAGCTGTCAAACTGTCACTGCTGTTGTAGTAACTCTTGATCACTGCTAGAGAAGCTGCCTCTGAAACAGATGTCACAAATTGTCTTCCCTTTTTCCTGTAAGAAGTACTTTGAATCACACATACCAATCCTAGCCATCTATAAGAAAGTTACACTGTGACATTGAGTCACCTTTCTACTTGAATAGTCTTACACCTAGTAGTTGTATTTCAAAATATGCATCTTACATATGCAATATTTTTTGTTGCCTAGGTGGAACCAAATGCCACAATTAGGGAGATCAGATTGATGTTCCATAAATTATGTGAGTATATCTTTTGCAGCAGTTCACATCACATCATGATATCCAGTATATAAATAGGAGAAAATTACATAATTTGAAACATGTGATGTACACACACATAATACTAAGTAACCTGCACATGAATGCGATCACAGTGAGATTTCAGTATAATTTTTTTATACTATCCTGATACATCTCTCTATTTTTCCACTGCATAATTTCTCACAAATATTCACGTTGAACAAATATTCCTGAAAATCTTTAACTAAATCTTACCTTGTTGTGTTGCATTCACTGTAATAGTGGATGATCTAAAACAAACGTAACAAACGTTGTGTATCACACAATTCTCTATGGTCTTACAGATCCTCGGTGGTATCCAGCAAGGCAGTCAATAAAACTTGATCCAAGTAAGTACTTGTGAGGACTAGAATAACAAAACTCTGAGCAGGGGCCTGGCATAAATGGTGTACTTTGCATGGGTATTAGCTCTTAAGAATGAGTTTCCAGCTATGTTAATTAGACTATGAAGGCTGAGTAGAATCCAGAACAAATTTAATTCTTTGAAAGTATTAGACAGAGTTCCATTTATGTGCCTGGTGCTTGGTAATTAACTCAGGAGTCTGCGCATTGTTCCAATGCACTTTCTAACTGTTGAGCACTTTTGCTTTCAAGACAGGCAGCACAGAATCTAGATACTAATTTCCCTTAGCTGCAGTGAAATGATCTCCACAGTGATGCTCAGCTGGGAGTCCTAAAAAGGGCTATGAGTTAGAGCTATCAATTCACATAATCCTCTGCTCTCAGGCAGGAATTACAGTTCTTTTGAGGTAAGCTAATGCAAACCACATTGCCATGGATGTAGGATTTGCTGACAAAGCTGGTGCCAGCTGGCTGACTTCATTAATGCTGTTGTAGGTATTGCTACTAGAAGCCTCTTAGTACATGGTCTGGGTGCACAGAAGAAATTCTAATTGCCAAACTGTGTTAATTCATCTTAGCATTCAGTATAAAATGTAGCACTTTCTTCTTTTGCTTCCATTAAGCATAATTTTATTTTAAAAGTCCCTTAAAGGCATGCTGGTTCATTGTGTTGAATCTGTCCATGGAAAACAGGCATATGAGTATCTTATTTCCTTCTTCAAAGATCTATCTTTGTCAGATTGTGAGACTTGCTGCCATGAGAAAATACTGGCCTTCTGGAGATTCCCCCAAATACAGGCATTAGAAGCTTGAGTAGTAGCTCAAGTCCTGTGGAACCACTTCCTAGCTGTTTGGTTGGGGAAAAAAGGAGGCAATGAAAACCTCAGTAGGAGAGCCTTCCAATCTCAGCTTATCCTAGCTTCTGTTTGTCTGACAATGAGCAATGAGAAGAGAGGAAGAGAGAGGAGAGAGATGAAGGTGCACTGGCTAGGAGGTCAGTGAACTGTGTTAAAGGGCAGTGACCCATCAGCAAATTCTGCTGTAGCAGAGATGAAGCAAGTCTACTAGAGTAGGCAGGCACATAGGATTTAGAACTCTCCTCACTATCTTGTTGTGAATAGAGGATCCAGGCTTATATGAGATTACAGGGATAAATCAATATTAACTGTAAACATTCTTAGTTTGTTGAGATTCCAGTAAGCCCATGTCGTATCAAAGAATCTCACAGATTGGTTAAAGCACAATATAAAGCTAGCATGCTACCAAAGTTGACTTGAATTTCACTGAGATGTAATTACTTCTTTCCTTCTCAGAAGGAAAGCCCCTGAGGGATGAGGAAATCCTGCAGCACCTGCCTGTTGGCACAACTGCTACCTTATACTTTAAAGATTTAGGGCCACAGATAGGATGGACTACGGTGAGCTATGCTTCAAAGCTGAGCCATTTTAATGGCTATTTTTCCATAATTAATCCTTACATCACTTTTTGTCTCTCTCCAATATTTCTGCATGATGCCTGATAGTGGATGCAGGCAATGAATCCTCATTGCTTCAGTTCATTTAATCAGGGAAAGCAGTAACAGGATATTCTGAATGCCTAGTTCCCTGGGAGAGCAGCAGTGGAAAACTTGCTGCAGGGTAGGTTGGCTCTAATGAACTAAGTTGCAGGTTCTCAAATGGATTTAGATGTCCACCGCAAAATCACTAGGAACTGGGTGTCTAAATGCCTTTTGGGGCTCTGCTTCACAGGGCCTGTGTAACCCTGCTAACAAAGGTCAGGATTATACTCCTACGAGTTTGTCCTGCAAAGAGGC